ATGAGCGCGGCGTAGTCCTTGTGCTGGGAATACACGTGCTGCGCGAGGTTGTTGTAGCCCGCGTTGCGCTGAATCGTCACGATGTGCGGCGACGCGCAGTGGAGACACTGGTAGCGATCGGTAACCTTGGTCGCGCCCGTCTTCGTGTCGACGACCGAGCCTTCGCCGAGCTTGGTAAAGTAGAAGCGCGCAATCTGCTTGGGCGAGAAGGCCGGGCAGGCCAGCGGGGGCGCTGCCTTGCGCATGTGGCCAATTATTAAAAATCAATTTTTAAACCCACCAGTATAAAATCTATTGGTGGGCAGCGCAATTTGGCGTGGAAACCTCTTTTATTGCATACGACGTTGGGTGGCGAATGTACTGTGCGATATTGCAATTTATTATATGTGCGAGGTTGGAACAATTATTGCAATTATGAGCCGTCCGTGGACAGCGCTTGTGGCGCATGATGGACTGCGATGCCGTGTGTGGAGCTTCGTATACTTATACAAAACTAATACAATATTGTACCGGGATGCAAGGACGGGGCCTAGCGCAGCATCTGCATAGCGTGCAGCACGAGACCTGGGAATGGTTGCGAGCAATAAACTAGGCTCCGGGGGAGTGGGCTGGTAGGAACGATGAAATCGTATGCATTATGTATTTTAATCGGTGCTTGGCAGACGACCTTGTTGGTGCAACGATTGGCGGAGGCGAGTCGGTTGTTTCGCCATCAATGGCGTCGACATTGTCGTCGAGATACTCCTTGAGGGCAATGACGTCTTGGTAGTCGTTGATGAAGACCTCGCGCTTGATCGCGTCGGTTTTGGCAGCCATGCGATCGCGCATTTCTGTGCTGTCGTTGATAGTAACGTCAACGTAGCCCGAATGGCCCACGCCTTTCCAGACGTGAAGATATTATCTTCACGTCTGGAAAGGAGTGTCGATATTATCGAAAAGCAGTGTCTGCAACGATTTCGTGGTGCTCACGGATGGACTTGAGCGTCTCATCGCACTTCTCGTGTGGCCCGACGTACGTCACGTGTAACCGGCGCCCGTCCGTGACTTCCGGCAAAATCTTGGCGACTTGGATCGGTCCATCCGCAAAAGCAAATGCAATGGGCGGTTGCGTGGTGCGGGCGCAAAAGAAGGTTAATATGGTGCGCACGAGCAGCTGTGATGGCCCGCAAGATAGCGTCGCTGATTTTTGGCAGCGTCTCGCACCGCCCATAGTCGTGGCCCTTGGCGATACTGAAGGGCGCGACGTTGTGAGACCCTGCAGTCGGGTCCTTGGCGCACGCCGAGCACAGTACGACGTTGCTCTTGTCGGGGACAAGTCGGGTTCAGATGATAGTGCACACCATCAACGCGGAGCACCGACACAACTTCGGAGACGAGTTTGCTGTCGCGTGGTAGCCGAGAAACTTGGAAGTCATCAAGGCGAAACACTGCGGGTAGGTGTTCGACAGGCCACGCGTCAACAATCTGACCTTCGCATTCGTAGAGTGCCTCGTTGCACGAGGCACATGCAGCGATGCGCCCGGATTCAGCATCTCTCTGGCGCGCACTCTCCTGACAGCGTGCAGCGTCTGCCTGACCGACTGCATCCCCAACAGCTCGCAAAATACGTTCGCAAACTTTCCGACCGCCGGGGCCGTTGAGAGACTCGTCGTTGCACACATGAGTGTCGGGGTCGCCCGAGCAGAGGTGAAAGGCGGCGATCGCTAGTTTTGGGTGCTTCGTAAAGTTCTGCGACGCGGCGATCTTGCCGACAGTGACTGCGTCGATAGATGTTTCGGCAAGGATCCGGTCGGCAAGCAACTTGAGCTCACCATCATCTGCCGTGCGGGAGTTCGCTTTAACCTTGCGTGTTTTTTCAAGCCGCACGACGTTTTCTTCGTGCGTCTCGGTGGCCTTCTCGACGGTGCGCGCAGTGGCTTCGCTAAGGCGTTGCTTTTCTAGTCGCTCCTCCTCCTCCTTCGGCGTCTCGGTCGCCTTCTGCTCAGCGCGCGCCTTGCGCTTGCGCTTATTCGATGCTCGCACGTTGCTTAAATGTAGCTGCATTATACAAACTGCAGTAGCAAGAGCGGCCGGTCAATGCACATCACCAAGGGTATATAATAATTTATTATATACCCTTGACATCACCGAGCGACATGGCGCCGGCCTGTCAAAACGCATCAATGAATTGCTGAGAGCTGTCCAATCATCTTACGGAAGCAGCAACATTTTAACCAATCCAAAATGGGACAGACAAAGAGACAGACAAATAATCCCCGGTGGGCTGGGTAACCAGGAGGTTCCTACCAGTATCACTTCGTTTATTGTCCGGATACCGCGATGGGCGTTGTATCCGGATGCAATCCGCATTCCGGCGAATCTTTGATTTTTGTGATGGCCGCGGTCAGCGCCCATGTGCTCGCCGTGTGGCACGAGCACCGGCGCATGTTCCTCGCGTCCATGGGCATCGTCTTCATGGGCCTCGTCTTCTTCCTCGTGACGACGTCAGGCATCTCGCCGTTCCCGCCGCCGTCGCCGCCATCCTCGCCCTTTATGACGTTCAACGTTCTCCAGGTACGACGACAGCATCTATGGGTCTTCGTGGCGAAATGACGATGACGACGCATCTCTCGGCTAGTACAACATCTTTGACCGGCCATATGCAGTGTCGCACGACGGCCAGGCCGAGCGCCTTGCGCGCATTCCGCAGTCGATTCTGACGCTGTGCCCGCACTCGTGCGGCGGTGTCGACGTTGTGACCTTCGCCGAGAGCGACATCGAGTCGGACCGCAACGTCATGCTCGAGGCCTTCAGTAAAGCAGGATACCTCTACCATACGACGATCCTTGCCGAGACGGACCCGTTCACGAGGTGCAACATGCCATCAACGACTCCTCCTCCTCACCACAACGCGGCGCCTCATTGTGTAGCTTGATCAATGGCGGTGTGCTCATCGTGTCCAAGTGGCCGATTCTCCGCGAGGCCCAGCACATCTACCGCGGTGCATGCCACTACTCGGACTGCCTTGCGGCGAAAGGCGTCAAGTACGCGCGTGTCAACAAGACCGTCCATGGCGTCTCGAAAGCCTTCAATGTCTTTGCGACACACATGCAGGTAGTACATGGTCGCTTGTTGCTAGTACGATGTTTCTTCATCCATCATGCGTAGGCGTGGTCGACAAAAGAAGGCATGGAAGACCGCATCAAGCAAGCGCAGCAGGTACCATTATCGCCTCTCCATTTTGCATGGATAGATGGATCGTTCATCAACTAGTTTTACGCATTTGCCCAAGCGCTGGCGATTCCACATACCGAGGTACGACTCTTGCATCGATGACAAGGAATGCGATGTACTTGTAGCCGATGGTGTTTGCTGGCGACTTTAACGTCGACAACCACTCGTTCCCGGACGAGGTGTCGAACCTTGTGCGCCTCTTGCACGCGACGACGCCGACGCGCGTTGGCAGCGAGCTCTTCACGAGCGAGTACACGCGTCTCTTGGTGACAAATTCAAGTCGATGAACGATTCTTGCCTAGTCCGCATCTCAACTTGCTCGTGGGCCGAGACGGCGCGGCCAAGTCGGGCAAGTGCCTCGACCAGTACGTGGCGAGCTGGGGCCCCTCCATGTACCAAATACGACGCAATGGATGATGCATGAAAGGACCATGTATAGGACAAACTGTACACGCCCAACTACCTCACGCGCCTCACGTGTGGCACGCAAGGATGGAATGCTACTACAATGAGTACCTCGAGCCAAGTGTTTCGCGACCCGTCGTCGGCCATGTGTTTTTGTCCGTGCTGTCCGTCCGAGTGGCTCGACTACGTCTTGTACGCCGAGCGTCCGTCACCGTCTTCGTATTTGTCATGAGAGACTGACATTCACGTGTGTAGCGCCGTACCAGCAGCCGATCGGTGCGCCGACGCTCGAGTCGATCGTCAACCAAGTGCCGGCGGCGTTTCCAGTGCCGTGGAGCGGCCCGTCGCTCTTGCCGTCGTCGGCCGACGACGCATCCTTGGCCCTCGTGGACCTTTCAGATCATTTCCCGGTCCTTGGCAAGTTCAAGTTTCCGCTGAATGCGTCCGAGCCAGTCGTGCACCTCGACGGGTGCTCGAACGACGACGACTGCCGCTTCCATAGTCTTCGTTGCTACTGCGAGGGCCCAGGCTGCTACTTTAATGGCAGCCACATTGATGGCGGCACCCTGCCGTCCGACCACCCCGTCAACAAGAACTGCATCTTGCTCAAGACGCGCTTCGTTTGCGCGTGCGGCCCGACGTAGACATGCGCTGCCTTTCTGCCTTTTTATCGTTGTCACTGAGCACGGGGTCGCGTTGACTGAGTGAAGTTGAGCCTCGACCATCCTCAATCGTTTCTTGATAAATAAGACGCTGTCGTTGCCGAAGGAGCGATGTCTCTATGCACTCAAGACGTTACTAAAGGCAGGGAGCATCTCGTGTAGTATCAATAGGACATGGTGGTACAGCGCACGAGCGGCGACTTGTCTTTGATACCCTTGATACAACTTGTCTGTGATGTCCTTGACTGGCTGTGGGTTCGGATCATCTTTGCTCCATTCTGGTCTAGCGTATGCATTGCATATTTCGATGACGATATTGACCAGCTTTGCATGTTTGCGTCATCGAGTCTCGTCCTCGCATACTAGGACGTGGGTCTCAGCTCGGCCATACCATTCAGGACTGCCTACGATGCAACCTCCTCTAGCCATCCTGTTAGGATGCATGAGTGAATTTACGTTGATATGCGAAATGTTTGCCGTACATAAGTACTTCAGTCGCCGCTCGGTTTACTGACAATAGGACTACGTTTTTGATTTGGTCGTATAGTCCTTCAGTGTTTGACAAGCAATCTCTAACTGTTAGTTGGCTTTACAAACCTTTTCTTGCCATGTCTCGCAACGGCGGCCGCCTTAGTCGCGGCGCTTGTGGCGCTTCTTGGTAGCGCGGCGATCGTCGCTGTCGTCGCTGTCGCTGCTATCACTACTGCTGCTGCTGTCGTACCGTTTTCGCTTCTTCTTCTTGCTGTCCTTGCTCTTCTTGGCCTTTTTCTTGCTGCTCTTCTTGGCGCGCTTGGCCTCGTCCTCCGAGTCGCTGCTGCAAATGGCCGCAAGCGCCTGCGGGTTGAGGCCGCTGCCGCTGTGCACATCCTTGGCTTTCGACGAAGACTTTTTGGACGATTTGCGCTTCTTCTCGCGGACCTTGTCGAGGTCGTCTTTGTACTTGGACGACTTGGCTTCGAGCGTGGCTTCGCTCGTCTCCTTGCGCAGCTTGGCCAGCTGGCTGCCGACCATCGTGTCGTACATGCGCTGGAGCGCGAGCTCCTTGGCCGAGACGGCGCCGGCGGCCGCGACGTGCACCTTGCACTTGCCGAGGTAGCACTGCGGGCAGCGCGTGCTCGCCATCGTCCTCTCTATCTGCAACAACCGACCAATCAGAAACGCCCATGGCACCTCCTCGTTGATTGGCTCGCGAAAAGATGACGCAATCCCACCAGCAGTGCCAAGCAGGCCATGGAGGCAAGCAATGAACCATTTCCATCGGTCATCGGTCGACGTGGCGCGTTCCGGTAGCGAGATATATGGAGGAGACAAGTGTCTTCTTGCGCTACACTAAATAGTCCTCGCGGTGCCCTTGCGTGGCCGGTAGCAATACTGGAAGCAGCTGAGCGTACGAGGTGACGGGCCTGGACCAAGCCAAGCGCTGGGGGCATCGATGATGGTTGGACCCGGTACCAGGGACCTTGGCCTGACTTCTTCTCGTGCAAGCGTACCAGCTTGCAAGCATGTGGGCATGATCGCGGACTCGAAGGGACGTGAAACGACAGTTTTTGAACAAGCATGGCAACAACAACAACACATCGGAGCCTCGAGAGCCGCCTGCGCGCCGAGGTCCCGCCCAACCTCTGCTGCATCGAAGAGACGATCGCATCGTTGCCGGCGCACCTCCGTGGTAGGCCGGACGCGCGGCCGCTGCGCATGAACTACTTTGAACATACCATCCACACGTACCACGAGAACGACCACCTCCAGCCGTCGCAGCAATACGTCGAGTGGGCCGCTTCGAACGTGCTACTCGCTGACCCACGCTTTCGGTCTCTTCTGCTTCCATCTCTTATCGATTCCCATCAACCTCGTCGTCTTAGGCTCTTGCGCCTCTCGACCGCCGAGGCGCAGGCGCTCGCGGTGCAGGAGTGGCGCACGCACGTGACGCGCTCCGTGTACCAAGCGCGTCTCAACCCCCACGAGATCGTCGACGGCCCCGTCGTGACCCGGTCGAAAAGCGGTGTCATCCGCGTCCAGGCCGAGCTCGGGCCCACCCAAGTCGTCGACAGCATGAGCACCGTGCCGATCAAGAAGCAAAAGAAGGCAGGCACGACCTCAAAGGCGGCGCGCACAACCAGCAGTCACAGCCAGCGTCCATAGCTCCATCTTGGATGGATGATCGGACAGGCTGTAAAGTTCAAAAGACTGCGTTTTTATACTGCGCGCCTCGTTGTTCCGACGGATGTTCGGTGAAGGCGTCTGTTTTTGGTCGGCGATCGTCGTGCGGTCAGCAATCGTCGCGGATTTCCTTCGGTGCATACCGGCGCGTGGACGAGCTGCAAGCCTCAGGGACTTGCGGGTTGTCGATGCGGATGCACGCAACTGGAAGAGGTCGTTAAAATCGTGCGATGGGCCTCGACGAGTACAATATCGACAGCGGAGTACAAGTGGAAAACGTGGATTGAAAGGGGAAATATGTGTTACACTAAACTGAAGATATGATAATAGAGGAGAACGCATCGTTTACGCCGAGGCCTTTTGCTGCTTCTTCTTGTAGTCGTTGACCGCGGCCTTGATGGCGTCTTCGGCGAGCATGCTGCAGTGGAGCTTGACGGGCGGCAGCTTCAAGTGGCTCGCAATGTCCGTGTTCTTGATCTTGAGGCAATCGTCGATGTTCTTGCCCTTGAGCCACTCGGTCGCGACCGACGAGGACGCAATCGCCGAGCCGCAGCCAAACGTCTTGAACTTGGAGTCGACAATCGTGCCATGCTCGTCCACTTCGATCTGAAGCTTCATGACATCGCCGCACGCCGGCGCGCCCACAAGGCCCGTGCCCACGTTGGTCGACTTCTTGTCGAGCGCGCCCACGTTGCGCGGGTTCTCGTAGTGGTCGATGATGTTCTCGTGGTACATGCGCACGGGGCCCGCAGCGCCGAGGGTCCGCGTCGGCAGGCGCAGCGCCTTGGTCATCGTCGAGCGCATCGTCGTCGTCAGCATCGTCATCATCGTCGTCTGTGGCTCGGTGGTTCGACTTGCAGAATGATGAAGTCGGCCGAATTATAATTTCACCACAGAACCCGCGCTGTGATGTTTGGCCAATCAATTGCGACGGGATTAAATAATAGCCAATCAATGCGCGAACCGACACGCGTCGCGTTCCTACAAAGACCAAGCTATTTAGGATACGACGTGGGGATTGGCGGAAAGACAGCCAATCAAAGAGGCGGCGAAGATGCAAAGCCAAATCTTGTCACGAAGGCTCGCGAAGTTGACGCGACCGGTATCCAAACCGGTTGCAATAGTCCGACCGCCGATGGCATGACCGGCATGGACGCACGCATCGCCATCACGTCGAGGGCCTAAGGTCGTTGATAAGGTCATGCGTGTCTATGGCGACGAGCCCATCGGTGGCGTCGACACGGGCGATTACGCGTGATGGGGCAATGAATAGCTTCCGCGTGGCTTCGCCGCCAACGCCACCGGCAAAACGAGCCGACGCTCCGTTGCTCGTCCAGACGTGGGTACGAATAGTTGATGGATTGCGGCTACGTGCTCGGTGGACATTGTGGTCTCCATGCGTCAAATCGTCCCATCAGCCGCCCTAGACCAACGGCGCTGCGGTAATTTCAACGACCACATGCGATATGTGTAGGGCGATTGAAGCTGCCGTCTTCTGTGAGATTCCAGTATGCTGTGGGATCGTGGGAGAGACAGTCATGTCATGGGTTGCGGCTTACTTGAGCAGCGGAAAGTCGATGTGGTCGTGCTATGTCCATGTGGGAACAGACTGGTAACGCTAGCGGTCGAGTTGGCGACAAGTCAAGCCTGCCTCCAGCCACGCTTGTGACCTCGATGGAGGGACAGACGTAGGACCTACGAGCTTTGCGTTGCAGATGCATGCACTTTACTTTGAGGGGAATCTCAAGGGTTCGCCTCGCGGCGTGTGTCGGACGCTTCCACCGGCGCAGGCCATCGCTTCGTAGGACATGCCCCTACTGATTACGTCCGTTCTTACTAAATGTCTGTGCACTTGCGATTCAAATCGACGATCAAGATGCTGCCAGCGGGGATGTCCTTTTGGAACACAGCCTTTCTATACCGCCACCCGCTTGGCTACTTTCCTCAAGTGACAACCGCGCACACGTTCGCAACACAGTTGGCACAAGGTGGTCTAGTAGCTGTACATTATTAGCGTCAGTGACGCCTCGTCGGTCGGACGTGCCGACGTCTCGGAAGCAGCCAGGGACCAAACAAGGGCATTTGGTCTGTCGCTTGATCTTTACCTCGTGATGCACGCGTGACGACTGTAGATTATATCCAGCGCCTCTGCATCTCTACTGACTTTGCACTTGGTGACTTTGCCGTTGGCGATGGGCAATTGCCGGTCGTAGCGTTTATCAGTCGCGTGGCAGTCGAGCACGCG